CCCCCCCCCGCCCTACTTGTTTTTCAAGATGTAGACGCGGTTCCACCTCGTGAAGTCATGCTTCACGGTGAGAGTGTACCACTTTCCCCCCAAGCTCTGTACCCTTGCCTTCCCACTCAAATCTACCAAAACTCTCTGCAGTTTCTTTACTGCTCCAGACGACGTCTTGCTTGTGATGGGCTAGATAGCCCCATCGCCGTCGAGCACCCCACGCACTCCCCGAGCTTGCCCACAGCGTCGTCTCCTGCTGGTTCGCCGTGGGAATCAGCAGCACCTCGTGGAAGTGACCGTGTGCGCAGTGAATATCGTTTATGTCAACGGAGGTGCAGGGCACTCTCGAGTTGCTAGGAGCAATGTCGGCGCAGGCTTGTTCTGTGTGTGTGCAGAAACCGGTCTGAACGTAAAGGTTGCCAGATCGAGAGAAGCACACCTACTTACCCTCCTCTCGCTCCAACCCTAAACCATGTTTGTGGATTGCCGCGGTTTCGTGTCTGTTGTCGAAGAGGGACGTGCGAGATGTGCGTGATATCAGATTGTATTTTTATCGAGGGACGTATGCTACCCGTTTCAACAACAGGTTGGTGGTCCCGTCGCGGGAGCTGAGGGTTACCGCTTCGCCACCGTACCTAAAGATAGGGAAGGTTTCTCTGGCGGTGACGCGCACACGCCGATCGCCCTCAACGAACGAAGCTTTCAGAGTTCGCGTACATGTGGAGGGTAGCGCCGGTGTCGGCAACGTTTCTCCCCCGTCTGGCCTGCTCTACACCCCCTCGACCAACGAATCTGTTTCACTCGTCTGTGACTTCACCCACCGCCAGCGCCTCTTCCGCCACGTCCAGTGCCGTAGTGTCCGCAGACGCCCCCTCCACCGGCAAGTGCACCACGAGCACCGCCTCCTCGGACCCGCACTTGCCTTGTAGTGTCCGTAGCCCATGCGCTTCTCACATCGCACAGACTCGCTCTTCTTGCAGGCAGACACAACTCTCCGCACCGGAAGCAGCGACCGCGCATGCTGCCTGCACCGCCGCCACCGCCTCCACCGCTCTTGCCACCACCAGCCTTTGCACCACCTCCTCTCCCCTTCTGGTTGCTGCCGCCGCGGCCGCCGCCGCTACCCTTGCGACGGCCCCTGTTGCCGCGGCCTGGCGCTCCTCCTCCGCTGCTACCGTCGCTCGCGAGGAAGGCATGCTCTGTTTTCCGCTTGCCCTTCGAGGCCTTCCTTTCCTCCGGGAGGTTCGAGTGCGCCATGCTCGCGATCCTGACGATCTCGTCCCTGTTCATCGTCGTTGCCGTCTCCAACACAAACTTCACTTGTTGGTACTCGGGTGGGAAGACAGCAACGAAGTGCGGGAGGAAGAAGGGTCCATCAGCGTTGAGTCCTTTCTCACGCAGGCGTGAGTACAGCAGCTCGAGCGTGTAAAGATCCTCGATGGGGTTGCTGTTGCTGTGTGCAGGGATCGTAAAGCGGAACATCTTGTTCATCAGGGCATGTTTCGAGCCTTGCGACCCCGGGTCGTAGATCTTTTCTAGCTCGGAGAGGATCTCCTTGACGATCATGCACTTGTTCACAGTCGCCTTGTCTGCTTCTCTGGCAATTGCCGTGGACACGAAATGGAAAGCTTGGAGGCCCCTGTGGACCTCGTCGCTCGTGTACCCCAGACTATACAGCTCCGAGCTTGGTATGTATGGGTCGCCGACGGGTGCATGTCTCTCGGCGTTGTGATCAATTGTCCGTCCAAGCCTACAGTTTCGGAGGCTTGAACGAGCCCCTTTCTCCTCGAGTCAAACCCGTGGCCGAGACTCTCTCCTTGAAACCGCGGCGCCGTAACCGTGACGTGTTTTGGTGGCCACTGCTGTATCCACCCAAAAAAGCTCCGGCCCCACGGATAGTGGTTTGCTCACCTGGGAAGTTGAACCCCATCGCGTCCTCGCGGTCTGGTCTTACGCCTGGGCCGACTCCGTCTGGTCCCGCAGGATTCGCTCCCGATCTGCTGGCCCAGCTGCCTTCTAACAGTTGACGTGGTCCTTGTCCACTCGTCGCTCCTTGCTGAAGAACCGCTCCACCTCCGCCGTGCGGCTGTAGGGGCTCATCTTGGTCTGCGGGGGCGGCAGCCCAGCCGCCCCTACTGGCTTCGTCCACCACGACGTTACCAGGCCCTTTCTTCTCCATCGCCTCCTCCACCAGGGTCCCCAATCGCGAAACCTGCTGTTGCGAACGTGCAAACTCCGCATCACTACCCTCCTGCCCGGGCATGCTGGTCTGATCCCCGCTCGTACCAGTCCGATCATCATCTGCGGTAGAGCTCATCTTCCTCGAGGGGCAATACTGTGTTGGCGGCCGTGCCACGTATGTACAGTATCGAGTGAGACTTGTTTCGATGATGTAATAACTTACTGAGAGGGAGAGGACTGTCCTCCACAAGGACGGGAAAAGGGAGTGTTTTACCAGAGCAGCTCCAACGGCAAGGAGGGGCCTGGATAGTCATCGCGGTACCCCCTACCAAATACTCCGGAGTAGCAATTTCACCACTCGGCGTGACACCAAACCAATATCCTTAGTCCTGCAGACGACGCCAAGTGCGACGTAGTCGCAGTGTGGAGCTAGCCCGACCACAGTGTGCAGGTGGGAGCCACTTCGCTTCTTCGGTCAGACTCCTTCCTTGTCCTTGCTTACTCTCTCAGTCGCTCGCTATCGCTCACTCCCAGGCAAAACCGAGCAAAGGGGAACGCTTGGACATCGCTTGCTGCTGCTAACCATTGTATCGCTACCTGCCTATTGCCCACGAACAGCTGGTGCTCCTAGGCGGTGTGATGCGCTCGCCGCAGCCACGTTGCCGCATGTGCGTGCCTCTTCAGATGTGCGTGTTTGCGTCCGCACAGCGGGAAGACTTCGTATTTCGGTTCTTCGTGGGTGGTGTACTGATGTGCATATGTTCTGGTTGGCATCAACGGAAAAGAAACTACATAGCCCACCGCACGTAAGGCGCAACAACTTGATCGGGGGCCGCACATACAGGTACCCATCGCATGCCTGCCCCTCTGGTGCACGTAGCTGCACCACAAACGATTCACGCTGCTGCTTGTCGGCATCCGTGCAGCATCAACATCGCAGATGTATATAGACCACTGCAAGAGATTGAGTGGGCTACCCCGCGGCTCATTAACCCTTCCTATCTTCCTGTCTATGTAGTTCTTACGCTAAGGTTAGAGCGCTCAGCCCCCGGTGATATGACAGCTCACAGCGAAGCGGGGAGATTAAGACCCCCCTTCAATTCGAGATATTAACTTCGGTCCTTCGTCTGGCACGACCAAGGACTCAGATCGACTCCTCCTCTTCGCGGTGTCCATCAAGAAATCCTTTCCATCACGGCCTCCCTGTCGCGAGGCTCACCGGTCGCACGCCTCGAGTGTTACACGACTTTCTTCCCGCGCAATCCACAATGCCCACCACCTCCCCCACCTCCCCAGCTGTCCGTTCATTAAAGCATCGACGATGGTTCACGTGGACTCATGTGGACTCGACGAGCTTCGCACGACGAAGCTTGCTTGGAACCCCAGACTTCCACTTCCACGTTCGACTCCAGCTCTTGGAATAAATGATACTACTGCTGTAAATCTTCACAACCATGACTTCCAATATTACTGACAAGTGGCAATACTAAGAAGCTTCTTCTTGTATTTGGGGCGCATGGACGATCAACAGCTCCGGCAGCCATCTAACCGCATGCGCCTTGTGAACCAAAATACTTAGGTCTAAAGCTGCGGGGGGCGAATAAGTCCCGCGTGCGGAGTTGTAGACGCATCTACAACTTCGGCTGAGCCCTGATACGCAAGAGTACAAACAGTGTTTCACTAAAAAATCATGACGTTTTCGGGCGGTCTGCGATCACGTTTAGACTCTTTTTTTCGCCGGTCTTCGCTAGCCGGAGTGCATCGGTCTCTCGATCACAGCGCCCCATTCGCGAGCTCGAACTCCAAAGGCGAGTCGAGTTACACCACTGTCAAAGTATGCCGTGCATTTGTTTTACTTGGTTTGAAATGACTTTGGCACTTTTGGTTCGGCTGTCTTGGCCGACCTGAGCGTGTCAATTGTACATACAACGGAGGTGTCGCGAGCCGGAGAATCCGAGGGCAAGGCCGAGTTAAAGCACCGTGCTTCCCCGACTTCGCACCTGCACCAGGGACAATCTACGCACGGCTCTATCATATCTAACATTCGCGGTGCTCGTTGGACGAGATTGTTGAAGGACATCAATTCATCAACAATTATTACTCGCGCTGCCGGCATGTGTGGTTTAGATTGTGAAATTGTAAATGCATCGATTTTTTCCTCGCCGTTAGGTTTTTTTGTGCCAACCAAATTCGTCGGAAAGAACAACAAGCCCCGGCATTCCTAGAGCTCTCGCGGCGACTTGTAACCATTCTGGCACTTTTGCGACCGCCTTGGAAAGTTGGAGCGACATTGGTCAAAGCCCGCACTGCAAGTAAAGATATAATTTGTGGTCGTCCAAATGTTCTGGAAATGCTTGAAAAATGGTGGACTCTTCTTCTATTGCACTTCAACCCTGAAATACGACGTTCGAAAACATGTGGCAACCTCTCTGTCGCAATCATTTATTTCGAGTCACATTCATCCGCCCCATCGTAGGCTCCCTGGACAAACTATTATCTCTAATGTCGTGACTAAATTTCGAATTGTTTGGAAGTACGACGCTCGAATTCCGTGATGTCGGAGCCTTTCAGTCGGACCCCTTTTTTCCAGCTTCGTGTCCTTGGTATTCATGTGCGACTCGCACATCCTCAACGTACCACCTCATTTGCTCATCAAGATCATCGACTTGAGCGCGAATGTACCCAGCCAAATCATGAGGACGACGACCCCCGTGACGCCCGAAGTCTGGCGCCCTTGTAGTATTTGTATTGCTTGACCCGCTTCCTGTCGTCCTTACCACTCTTTGCTGTCTGTGCGTTATTTGTCACATTCTATAGCCCCTGGGGATGTGACAACGATCTGCTGGAAGAGTACCTTGACGACGATCTCCGTGACCAATTCTTAAGTAGTGATGGGGTTGGCACGCGCTTGTTCAAGGGAAGATTCTTTGCCGCCGTCGTTGCTGCTGTGGCTATGGTCGTCGCCAGCAGCGGCAGCAGCAGCCTGTTTTGATGTTTGCTGCCGCCGCGTGATCGTAGCCAGCCGTTTGGGGCGCCCATGAGTAAACTCGCTTCTACGAATGACAGCAAAAAAATATTTGGCAGACGCCGCTCTTTCGCGCGATAAGGTGCATGCATCGTGCAGCTCCCACTTCAAGGAAGCACTTCGCCCAAGAACAAAACGAGACGCAGCCTCGTGAACAACCGAGAATTTGTTTGTTTTTCTTCGTTTGCGATTTGCTCTCTCGTCTGCGTTTTCTTTGAAGGTTGGGTGAGGTATTTGCGTATTTATTTACACGAAAGGCATAGAGTCATCACCCTCTACCGAACCAACTCTAGTTTGGGGTGATAACCTGGCCGATGCCAAGCGACGCACATGGAACACTGAGGGGACGATTAGGAATGGGAAGGATGGGACATTGAGTTTCAGAAAGACTGATGACCTGTGCCTCCGAATACAATATGTCAATCTGTTGTGCCGACGTAGTTGGTCTCACCTCCACGGCATTCCGTGCGTGTGGTCGTTCTCTGGCCGGTGTTGCCTTGACGACAAGCACAAATTTATGCCGTATGGCATACTAGACTAAGAGGGAGGGATCGTAAGAGGTAGCGAGCTGCTCTACTTCGTTCCCGTTCATTTTTGTTTGTCCGTGTATCTGACTTTTTGTGGGATTCGAGTTCAAGGATATGAACGATGGTTCTAGGCAAGATATGTAGATCTGGCGGGAACTGCAACTCCTTTGGATCGTTGCTAAACAGGGAATATAGCTATAGCACCCCCCTCATTGCTGCGCGTGTGAACCTCATTACACACTCTCTCCCTCTGGGTTATGCGTTTCGTTTTGTCCCGCTTGCTGTGTGAAACCTGGTTGGGAAGGACGTGTGCGCGTCTCCTCTTGGTTTGCAGGGTGACCGCCACTTGTTGGTGGTGGTGAGCAAATGCGTTGCTTCAGAGTATTCGAGTACCCCCGTCTGCTTCTTACATTCAATGGTGTTCGGAAATAGTCGATAAGGCCCACTATAATAGACATGCCTGTTCTCTGGAGGCCAATGTCTGGTGGAAGTGAGACGCAGATCATTGTTCGCTCTCAAGCATTTTGAATATTATAGCTGTACCAATGGTTCGGTGATACTGGGTTATTTGACGAACGAAGAGTCACGAAGCACATCGATAGATGCCCAGCAGTAAGAGTAGAACAGGTGGAATTCTACCATAAAGTGTTGTGATATGGAAATCGGGGAATCGAGCTCCTGGTGAATGTCTCTTGGTCTTGTGTTGGTCGGTCATCGCCCTTGAACCTGAAGATGGGGCCCCTCGTTGCCGAACAGTACTACAATATTACTGATTGGCAAGTGAGAAACGACGAAAATCTGAATGCACGATCCAGATGCTTGGCGCCTGGAAGCTCCCGCCCGGGACCTTCGTGGTCATGGAGACGGTGCCCGAGGGAGACTTGTATTATTGCGCCATTGTGGCGGTCGGTGTACTTCCTACATGGCAATCAATAATTAGTCACTGTACGACGTCGGATTGTTAGCACTGTCAACTTTTCCTCATCATGTCATTTTTGTTTGGGGCCGCTCCACCTCCTACTGAAGAGAATGAAATATTTCCACGTGCAAGTGCACGTTGTATTCACTCCTCCGGAGTATTGTTGAAGAGTGAAGCCGTTCTTCATATTTCCTACCGGAGGGCGGATTCGGCGTCAAATACAGTGCGTTCCATGGACAAAATGCGACCCTCCTAGAGTGAGTGTGGTCGGTTCGGTGTTCTTCTCCGCATTATGCACGAAATTGCGCGCCTGCCTGCCACTTGCCGGCGGATTTCATTCACTTTCCCGCCATTCATACATATTATTATTTCATTCGCACACAACATGATAATTTGTGAAGAGCCAATTTTGCATGTGCGCAGAATAGCGCTCTGCGGTGGCTCCAAGAAAACATCTGTAGCGTGCTTCGTGAGAACGAAATCGATTCAATTGTGGCACCGAAGAGTCCCCTCCTGCTGGTATATATACTGCAAAGAGAGAATGTCATGTGTTGATGAGACCCGCGAGAGGTATCACTCGTAGCGGAAGGTATCTCGCTTCATTTTCTGCTTGATAAATTTGGCCGGCAACGTTCGATTTCGACAAGGAAAGGTCCCCCAGCTCA